TTAAGTTTTATTATATTTATTTTATTTTATAATTAGATTTTTAAATATAATTCAAATTATTTTTAATATTATTTTATTTAAAAAATAATAAAAAAATTATATTTATAATAATTAAGTATTTTTAAATTAGAATTAGAATTTATATTAAAAAATATTTATTATTCTAATAATTTTTACTTTATTATTTTCTAATCTATTTTTCTTATAAATTTAGTTTAAATTTTAAATAAATATAAATTAGTAAATAAAATTATTTAAATAAATATAATATATTAATTAAATTATTATATTTTATATTATTGAATTTTTAATATATAATTACGTTATATATAAATAGATAAAACTATTATTTGAAGAAATTATAATAATAAATAGTATATTTTTTATAATTTTAACTTAATAAATTATTTATTTATTAAATCTAAAACAATTATATTAGTAAAAATTAAATTTATTTTCAAACTATTTTTTTATTTATTTTTAATTTCAAATAATTTAAAAAATAATTCAAGCTAAAATTAATTATATATTTTATTTATTATTATTAAAATATTAATAATTTTTAATTTAAAATAAAAAAATTTTATTTTATTAAAATATTATTTATATTATTTTTATTATAAAATAATTATTCAAATAATATAAATTTGCTAAAAGTAATAAATTTTTGAGCTGATATTCTAAATTTTGATATCCTTTTTAATATATTTTGATTATATAAAAATTAATTAATAAAAGACATATATTATTATTATTATTATTTATAATGAATAATATAATATTATATTGAATTATTTTGAGATTTCTTTTCTAAATAAGTTATATTTTATTTTGATTTAAAAATTTTAAGTTTAAAAAGTATAATTATTAGTTTTTTATTGATAATTTTATATTTAAAATTTATAGAAAATTAGCATATTTCTAATTATAATTTTTATTTCTTTTATTAAGTACATTTCTTATCTTTAAAACTTGTAAACAATAATATAATTGATATTAGCATAAAAAAATCTTAGAATAATTAAATATCACTTTAGCTTATAAATAATTTAATCTCACAATTCTTATTTATAAATTAAATTCTTGATAAATTTTATAATTCTGATAGAAATAATAATAATGAAAGTCGTTGGACAAATTTCATGTGACGAATTTTGATTTGTGTAACTTTTCATTTTTGATTAGAATCCCGCCAACTAAAAGAGTATTTATCATAACAATCTTTTTTGTGTAACATTACAAACTTTACCACCAACCTAACCAAACGAATGTGTGTTAAAGAAGATATATACGCAAAGGCTATTCAATAATTGTGGGATAAAGGGATACAAGACGCAAAAGCAATATAAAAACGAACAGGTCTTCCGAGATCTATGGTATACTATAACATTTCCAAATTAAAAAAAAAGGAAGTGTAGCTCACCGAAAACGTAGTGATCGCCCCCCCAAAAATCTCCCCCCCCCCCGAAGCTCTAAAATATTGGTTCAACAAGTAAAAAAAGGAACCTGCAATATCATCAAGAACTTTAGCCACAAATTTATTAAAAAGAAGTTCAAGCCTCTCACGTAACCGTTTGGAGCTATTTAACCCAGCCTGGCTATAAAAAAACTGGGCAGATGCAACACTAATGCCCACGAAGGCGCACATTCAGAATCGTATAAAATGGGCACAAAAATATCTTAATAATAACTGGAACCGGACGGTATTTACTGATGAAACAGCTTTCAGTTGTTTAGAAATACCGTGGAGTATTGGTATCAGGATGAACGGCCTGTACGACGAATTCCAAAAGATAAAAAAATCTTTGCTTGGGGTATGTTTGGTTAAGAGGTAAAACAAGTCTTTTTTGCTTTCGGAGAATAATGGATGGTCCATATTATATTGAAATTTTAGAAAATCACTTTCTTAAAATTAGAAGAATGCTTAGGTGTCGCTGGCAGTTCCAACATGATAATGATCCCAAGCATACAAGTGGTGAAGCTCGAGAGTTTCTGAAAAAAAGTGCCCCTGAAGTAATTGATTGGCCTTCTAATAGCCCCGATTTAAACCCTATAGAAATTTATGGAATATTGTTAAGAGGAATGTTGAGGAACAGTGACCAAAAGATTTAAATGAATTAGAACGATTTATGGTGGAGGAATGGGAAAAATTCCAGAAAGTATCTTAGCAAATGTGGTGGGGTCAATGAAAAATCGTTTTAGGCTTGTAATCGAAAAAAATGGGGAACGTATCCCAAGTAATTTATTATAAGAAAACTTTTACCAGCTGAATAAAATTATCTGGTTCATAAAAAAGAGTTACTTGTAATTATATATACTAAATAAACCTTCGTCTCTAACAAGCCGTTAATCATGTGATTTGATGCAGTCGTTATAAATTATTTTCACGTGAAATTGTGACTTTCTTAACACCACTATAACTCTCTGTTAAAATATAATTGAACTGGGATAAAAATACTGATTAATTAGAAACAAACTATATTTTTACTTATTAAAAGATTCACCAAATCATATTATTTATTTCCTGTTAATGACGTGTAGCTCTGTAAAATCAAATCATGAAACCTTTAGATGCTTTGAAGCAAAGAATATCGTAATGCTACCAAAAAGCTGGCATTCCTTTTCATTCTTGACATTGCATGACAAAATTTATCTTACTATAAATTTTTTTGGCTCCACCGTATATAACATTTGTTATTATCTTTATATTCTTATTGTGAAATATATTAGCATAAATATATAAGCCATTAGTTATTAAAGACATAATCATTCAAGAAAAATATATAAGCCAATAGTTATTAAGTCATAATCATTCAAGAAAGTTGAATTATTTAGTTATAAGACACTTAAAAAATAAAACATCTAATGCTTTTAAATAAATTTAAAGTTTTCAAATTCCCTTAGGAATATCGAAGGTAGTTTCGAATAAATTGTCAATTTCTCCTCCTGACTGAAATTTAAAAAATTCATCCGCTGCGTTTTGAGCAGCATCCCAATCTTCTATTACTATTTCTTGATCAATAGTAGCAATTATATTAGAATTTAATGATTGATTTGTAGTTTCTTTTTCAGTGTCTTCAAGTTTTGAAAAATTTTCCGAATAATCATTGATCGGAACAAAACATTCTTCAAGTAATTTATGTTCATTCTTTTGGGGTATGTATTGGATCAACATAAATTGTCGTTCATAATGATTAGATTGATCATGGACTTGATTGCCCACCGGTATTTGAACATCATCAACTTTTAATGGTATCGAGGAATTAACGCTGAAAGTTGGTCCAAAGCGCACTGAAATTTTTTTAGGATTCAACGTTCTTGTTCGCCTTGGTCGAAATACGTACTCTGGATGACGTTTTCTATGCTCAATTGCTGCCTTAGCTGCTTTCTCAGTGTACTTTCGTTTAACTTCAGCCGATTCTTTTTTCCAACTTGCGCTGATCATCTTTGAGATTAGTCGTTCGTTCACAGCCGGATATCGTTTACGAAATTCCGGTTGAACATCGACACGATAATGAAAGAATGAATTCAATGGTCGCAAAGTTTTATTTGCGTTTGCAGCATTGCGTTCAAGTCTCCTCTTTTGTGCACGTGTAGCTGGGCATGCGAAGATAACAGACATATTGATGTTTATTATGTTTGAATTCGTTAACTTAATTATTCATAAAAGTTGTTTTCAAAGAAAACACAAAATACTTTTTATTGCTCAAAATATTGCCTTTTTATATTTGCTGTTTATTTTCTAATACGAGTATGCATTTATCATTATGCTTAAAACTTAAAAATAAAAAAACTATTTAGGAAACTTTATTATATGCTTTTGGTAATGATTTATATATGAGATTTACTCATAAAAATTCACATGTTTAGCGGGCTACTCATTTTGTGAGCACTAATAACGTCATACAGTAACAATAATTTCTTGACAGAAAGAAATAAAGCAAACTTTTTTAACTATTTTCGTAGCGATTAGTTTGCGAGAACAAAGAATTTTTATTGTGATTATCGTTTTTCATAAACCTTAAATGCAAACAGTGAGTTCCTTTTATAGATTAGTGTTACATTTTTAGCAGCTTCGATGTTTTGCCAAGATCCACAGATAGATAAGGCTGTGCACCTTTCAATCTCGTTTTTTGCTGCAATACACAACTTTTTTTTTTCTAAAAAAGATAATTAAATGTAAAAATTTCCCTAAGTGATTGTATTTTATTTGTCGGATTTCTTTAAAGTTTGTTAAGCGCTAAGATTGGTTTATATGTATTATATAAGTCGACATTAGTTTTTTATATTTGGAGAAAAATGCATTTTCCGCAGTGTATTATCAATTTGACAATAATCTGGTTTTTTCCTGACTGTTTGCCTTATGCAGAAGGACACAGTTATAAAGTTTTTTAGTCCTGACTATAGAATGTAGCGATTGAGAAATTGACGTCAATTGAGATTGAATTCCCTTAAAAAGAAAATCACAATAGCGTTGTGTTTATGAAACAGATGTATATAAGTCTAAACAAATATATAAGCGCTAATTCTTGCAAGGAATGAGATGTTTTAGGGAAAGATATACCAAAAACTTTAAACCAATATGGGTGAGTCCCGAAAAACTACATATAAATCCCGAATAAAGTCTCGTTGACTATCGGAATTTCGTTTCCTTCTCAGAAATGAGATGATATATTTTCTCAAAAGAAGTAAACTGCATTGTAGTTTGATATTACGCAGACAAGATATGATTACAAAGAACATGAAGAAAGAAAGATGCAATGAGCAAGTGACCGTCATGAAAATTATCAAAGAGCTTTATTCTGGAAAGTTCTGACATCTCCTCAAAAATATAAGGTCATTTAAAGAGTAAAAAACGGAATAAATCGATATGTAATGATTACGCATAATAGCAACGAAGTTCTTATTGCTCCTTTTACTTTTTCTTATCAAATTGATACATCTATGAAAAATACAAGAATATAAATAATTATGGAAGCTGGTCCTTTTAATTCTCATCAAATTGTGAAAGATACATTAAGAATATAAATAATTATGGAGTCATGTATATTTTTTATGAATAAAATTTTTAAAATTAGGTTCATTTATTAGCACGTGGCTCTATTGATAAGATGTGACAGATAATTTCGCGTCGCTTTATGATACATGTCACTGAATTCAATGTACACAAGCATATCGATATACATGTACATGTAATTAGGTAATATAGCACGTTATGTTTCTTTAAAATGCGGAGTAATTATCAAATATTCTCAATTGATTATAATAGTTCAAACAATAATATATATTTTTTACAACATTATTACATCATCTATTTGGCTGTTGGGAGTGTATAGTTGCTAGACTCGAAGAAATTCGCCAATAAATTTTGACGACAATTGGGAAAGTTAATTCATTGTCGTGAAATTAATAATTTCACCCCTAAAATGATGTCTAAATGGAGTGAAGTGCTAGTGAAATAGAATGGGCACCAATATGCGTATTTGTTAATATATTTATTCGTCTATCTATCCAATAAAAACCAATGAGTTTATTTCTAATATCTATCGCTGTACATGTTAATCAATCAATCAACCGAATGATCCAATTTATACAGTCAGTTTACAAATGCGATCATAAGCCAATTCTAATAATATTTAATGCTAAAAAAAAAGAGAAAAAAAGTTCATATGCGAATATTTATAAAAGTGTGTGCACGTGTATAGACCTAAAGTGTCAGCGTAATGAAAGACCCCATTCCGTTCTTAATCTATGAAATTGATCATAATTCATATTTGTTTTCATATTACTGAAAATGATAAAGCTTATTATTATTATTACTAGAATTCTAGAAAAGTTACTTAAGATGTTAATGAATTTATCATGTAGAGAATAATGATCTTCTTAATGTGATTGTTACTCATTTCGGGAACTGTTATCGTTATTGTATCTTAGCTGTATCACACGTACACACCATTGTAGTCTCCTTAATTCAATAAAAGATCTGGGAATAAACTATCCCAAAGTGTATTCGATTGACAATTTAATGCTGATTCAAGGGAACTAAAAGTTGGAGTAGAGGGTGCCGACTGACGATCAATATCTCCAGAGAACGTACATTGGTGGAAAAATTTTTCGTCTTGTTGTTTTTGAGTGTAACGCTTTGTTGTTTTCCTGGAGATTTTAGTTCGATAATGCGATTGTGTTTCTATTTTTACCTCTTGTAAATGCTCAAATTGTGATTGATTTATCATGCGAATATTGTCTGAATATGAATCAATTAGTTTTGTCTCGAGAATTGGCTGTTCTTCTATTGTCGTCGATTGATTTAATGAGCAGATCCTATTGTTGTTGCTGTTATGGAAGTTGTTATTTTGATGGCTGTTATTGTTATTGTTATTGTTATCGATATTGTCGTATATTGTTGGCGTCAAATTTGGGAATTCCCCTGTTGAATAAGCAAATTCAATAGAAACAGGGGTTTGATTGTCGTCATCATATGGAAATATCAATTCATAGGACGGATATGCTGGTGGCGTATATGATAAAAATGGTGATTGTGTCGGACAAATTGAGGTGTAACATGCATCCGAGCCCATCGTGATGTAACTTTGATAATCGGAATTAAAGTCGAGCGACAGAGATGGAGTTTGGAAGATCGCATCGCTTTGAGCACAATTATACATTGTCGTCGGAGATTCGTAATTTTCCAATTGATTGGCAGAAAAGCAACTTGGCATATAATCGCCAGGATAATCTATTGGTAAATACGTGTTCGACCATGAAGGCGAAGGTGTTGTTGGAGAAGGCGGAGAGCTCGAGGTTTCACTTGATTCTTCTTCGCAAGAGGGCGACGATAGATCTGATTTAGCCAAAGAGACTTTTCGGTATGGCTTGTATACGTAGCCAGGATTTATTTCACTATGCTCATTTTTCGCAATTTCCGCTAATTTTGAAAATGCTTCTTTAACTTCATTACTTGATTTCCTCCATACTTGACTTGCTAACTCAGAAACAATTGGAACTTGAAGCTTAAATGTATCCAATGATCCTTGGAACATTGTACGGAATATAAAGAATTTGTTTGGTGGACGAGCTGGTTTGTCCGACGATTTGGCTTTTCGATAAAAAAATCGATCCCTGATTTCTTTAGAAGTTGGAACATGAAATTCTATTTTAACCCCATCATTCAACGTCACTACAATCTTCTCTCTTTCACCACTTGTATCTAAATTAGCTTCGACAACAGTAACGGGCGAGGTGGTATTATTGTTGCTGTTGTTACACCTTGACGACCGTTCATCATTCGACGTAGTTTTATGATAAGGATGTTCTCGGATCGTTTGTGCTGGTAGAGGCATTTTAGAGGAGATGAGTTATTTTTCGATTTATGTGGGAGCGTGTGTATTATAAGGAAAGGGAAAAGTGTATTATTTACTTAAGTGATAAAGTACGATGCGGTTTTTATAAGTTTTCGTGAAATAAATTTTTTTCGTTAGTTTTTTTATGGTAAAGACATTCCTCTACATGCAATTATGTATTTGTTGTACGTGGCCGCAACTTCCAGAAGTTGATGAACAGACAAAGCAAAGTAAGTTTAGCGCCTGGATTTTATACTTTTTATATTTGCCGAATTAGTTTTGATTATTTTATATTTACATGTATATACATACATTTATAATATTACATAAAAATTGTCACACGACATTGAAGGAATTGAACAAAGGGTCAACCATAACAAACGCTTTTTGTCAGTGACAGTATTGTTGTTAAATACTTTAAACAATCTTGTGTTTGTGCTTATTATTAGTAACATTTAAATACTGATTTTCTTGATAATAACAAAAGTATTCAATAAAATTGGTCAGCAATTGCCATATGCTAAGTTATCGTACTAATCAATTTTTTACAGAGTTAATTCGCAAATTTGATAAACTCGATCATTGTTCTACGCGACTTTCTTAATGGTTGTGTTAGGTCTTGATAGGTAACAGCAAAAATACATCAATGCCGCGTGTGAAGCATGGCATTCACTTTAATTATCCTATTTGAAAATAGAAATTCCCGCGCAAAAGTTATTTTGGCGCAAATCCACAAAAAATCAGAGAATTTTAATATTCATGCACGTTAATTATAATTCGCGGACCAAGTTATATGCACGACTGGAGATTTGAAATATCCAGGTGTGAGTTAATTTTGCAGAATTATTCGTTGGTGTATTTTCAAATACATGTATGTCTTAATTAATATCACCATGAAATCTTTCGAAGCTAAAACCATTCTGTCAACGTGTATTTTTTTTTAATAATGAATTTCTTTTCAAAAAATATTCTAGGCTAACTACGGTGCTTACGCATGTCCAAATATAGTCGGTGACTCTACAAAGTTCAAAAAATCAATTTTTCACCACAATTATTCACGAACGATGCGCCCCTTGCAGAGAAAAAAAAAGGCGACATTAGCTAAATTAACAAATTCATTCGATTGTTTGAAATGACAATTAAATTCTCCAAATAATAATTAATGATCTATCAGAGAAGTCAAGTAAGTAGCCTTGATATTTTATATTTCTTGACCCTGAAAATCAAACTATTGCATGCGTTTCGAATAATGTCTTTGTCAAATCAATAAAGAAAAGTTAATTTATCCGAAAAAGTATAATTTCATCTCTGTGACGAGATCTATTAAATGCATTGCACGGGAAAACCAATCAACTCTATTCAATTTGTAAATTTATATTTATTTCGATTTTCTATCTTTTTTAATAATTGACATAGCGATCATTAGATCCATTGTAGCACGTTATCGGAAAGTCTGAACAGATTACTGGAAAAGTAAAGAAACAAATGATAAAACATATGCCAAACATATCGATATATAATCGAACATTCGTCCACAAGAAACATCTGATCTGTTTTTCTCGCGTTAACAAGCACATATGTCGAATATAAAACAAAACATCCCGTATTCTACTCTTGGTAATTGAATTCCGAAAGCTAACCAATCAATTTTTCATATTTTTCGTTTTATTCGTACATAAAAAGAATAGTAGGCAAGTTTCAATGATGATAAGCAAATTAATTGTTTATACAAAGAATTATGTCAGGCAACAAATACATGTATACATTTATCTCTTGTATTTTTAATATCATTTTTTTTCGCTAAACCAATTAAAATCTTGATACTCTGCATTTTTCGCTCCAAATAGCAACAAGACAAAAAGCCTCAAATGAAAGGAACAAAGCCAAAGAACACGCGCCTGTACTATACTCTCAAGATTTTTTGATCGTACGTATGGAGTTTTGCCTTGCGCGATGTCCATCCAAGATTTGCGATACCAAACTAAGAAATTTCACGAGCGTAATTCTTACCATTTTTTTTACGCTAGATCTTATATAAAAATCACCAAGATATAACAAGAAAAACAGTTTAGACAGTTTAGCGAAACTAAATCAATGCTAAACCTCTATTAATAAAGATGTTCAAGAATCACAAGCCAGATGTTGAACATGAAAACCAAGAGATCTTGCATACCGCTAGAAAAAACAGTCCATTGGTCTATAATGGGATCATATGAAGCAAGTATTTGGTGGTGAATGGATTTATTACGGAAAATCAGATACAGTGAATGTCACTTGAAGCTCGAAAAGATGTTATTGTGTCTTGTCCATTCAACACCTTTTACGCTCCATTGAATAGGAAAAATTTTTTCTTTTAATCCAAAATATGCTTACCTATAAAAATTGCACGAATTTTATTAACCTATTCTAAACCATTGAGATTTTTCTCTCTTTATGCCAATTTGCATTGTATCAATCCCGATTAACGATTAACCCACGAATGGCAAATTAAATATAAATGCCTTGGTATTACCTAATGTTAAAAATTTGAAGTTAATCAATCATCTTGGATTGTGCAACGCTGGGCATATCTTTGTTTGGATGATGATGATGTCATTTATTGAATACTTTATCATTGAATAAAAGTTTCTTATCAGTTGTCTCAAACCACAATATGTCAGACCAGCACTTTCCAACGCGACCTGTAGATCGAGAAAAAGCTGAACATGATTTAGCACAGAACCTCAGGAAAGCAACAAGCATTGACGAAACTGCACCAAAGCAAAAACACGTTCGAAGTAAGTTTTAATTATTTTTTCCTGACACTTGTCTTCTTACCTCTCACACCTTTGCTTTTAGGCGCGATTCTATATACCTGGGATCATCACACTTCGCAGTCGATATGGACTGGCCTAAAAGTCCAACCGATATTAGCAGACGAAGTGCAAACATTTAAAGCTTTAATCACAGTTCATAAAGTCATTCGAAATGGTCACCCTATTGTGAGTTGACTTTAACTTTTAATTAAGAAGTCTCAATCTAGGCTAACTCCGCTCTTTGAATAGACTCTGAAAGAGGCTCAAAATGAGATACATTGGCTTGAAACGTGTGCTCGTTCTGTCACCGGTGACGGGGTTAAAGGTAGTTACAAGCTGAAATATACAATCTTCTCGAGAAATTTTCTTTTCTAATCTTTCAGTGAAAATTTAGGTTACGGTACTCTGATTCGAGCTTATGTTAGTTTTTTATTGGCGAAATTGAATTATCATAGACTTCATCCGGAGTTCAATGGCAATTTTGATTACGAAGAATATGTTTCTTTGAAAGGTGTTGATGATCCTAATGAGGGGTATGTTGTTCTTTTTCTATATTATTTATAAACATTTTAGTTTTCTATATAAAGCTTTATATTTTCGTTAGATATGAGACAATCAACGATTTGATGAATCTTCAGGAACAGATCGATCAATTCCAAAAGTTGATTTTTGCTCAATTTCGACCTTCGTCTAATAATGAATGTCGTATCGCTGCGTTAATACCACTAGTAGAAGAGAGCTATGGGATTTATAATTTCATGACAAGCATGCTTCGAGCTATGCATCGACGTACTGATGCTATTGACGCGCTCGTTCCTCTTCGAGATAGATACAATGCTCAACATTATAAATTAATAAAATTTTATTACGAGTGTAAGAATCTAAAATATCTGACGAGTCTCATAAATGTACCAACATTGCCACAGGTATCTTATAATTTCATCACGTAATTAGCATACACATAGTTTTGTTTTGTCGGCATGATTTTATGAGCTGACCCACTTGATTTAATTAAGGATCCCCCTACATTACTTGATGGAGTTGGTGTACCTTCACTGCCTAAAAGACCTGTTCCAAAATCGCCTGCTCCTTCTTCGATTAATTCTGAACCGGATTCGGTACAAGATTCATGGAAAGAAAGTCAAGCACAGCAATTGGCACAAGCTCAGGCTTTAGCGCAAGCTCAGGCTCAGCAACAATTAGAATTTGAGAGACAAAAACAACTTTATGAAGAACAACAACGTCAATTGCAACAGCAACGCGAACTTGAACTTCAGCAACAGCGTTTATTGGAGATTCAACGACAGAGAGAACTTGAGGAACAACAAAGGCAGCAACAAGAACGAGAACGGATTGCCAGAGAGCAATTGATACAACAACAAATACAGCGACAAGCACAAGGACGCGTTGCTGAATTGGAACAAGAGCTGCTTGCTGCTAGAGGTGTTACAGAGAGAAACCAAATGTTGTTAGAACAATACGATAGGGTAAATTTTCAACAAATTTATAAAATTTATTTTTTGCTTTTAGTGAACTTCAATTTTTTATTTTATTAGAGGGTTAAGGCTTTAGAAAACGAGATGAATCAGTTAAACCTTAATGCTCAAAAGCAACTTGCCTCCAAAGATGACATGATTAAAAATTTACAGGGTAATTTTTTTTCTTTTTAATCATTTATAACTAAATAATGTTGATATATATTAATCTTTTATATTTGATTTAGATCAAATCTTAATGTGGAAAAACAAGTATGAAGCTTTGGCAAAACTATATTCACAACTTCGCCAAGAACATCTTGAACTTCTTAACAAATTCAAAGCAGCACAATTAAAAGCCAATTCAGCACAAGAAGCTATAGATAAAATGGAGAGAATGGAACGGGACATAAGGGCCAAAAATTTAGAACTGGCAGATATGATCCGCGAGAGGGATCGCGCCCGGCACGAGCTTGATCGATTAAAGAGCGTATGTACAATTCATGTATACTGAATGGCACTTCTAATTGCAGAATTTGAGCTGATAATTTTATTTATTAATAGAGCCAACGTGAAGATTTAGAAAGAGTAAAGCGTGACCTGTCATTGGCCAATGATCGTGCTGAAGAACTAGCTCGATCAAAAAGCAATGAAATTGGAGCTATGATGGCAAAATTTAATAAAGAGAAACAAGAATTAGAAGATTCGATAAGAGTAAATATGGCTTTTTATTTAAATAATAATTTTTTGCACTGCTCGTACATGTTGATTAATTATGTATGTATTACGTAGACAAAACAATCTTATATAGATGATTTATTGAATCGGGTGGAAGAAAAGCAAAATGAGATTGATCGTGTTACACAAGTAAGCTCTTCATTGATTGGCCGATTTTCGTTGATTTTAATTTCTCCGATATAAATATTTAATAATCATTGATTTTTGTTTTAGGAAAAAGATGTCGAGATAGCTATTATGCAGTCAGCTATGGATCAAAGTTTATCAGCTTTGGCTAAAGAAAGACAGGTTTGTCATTATGTTTTAATCTTATATCTTCTGCTTGTTCTTAAATATTTCCTATAAAACTATATTCTAGACAAGCACAAGTACTGAAAAAGACATTCAAGATAAAATTGAGAATTTATTATTGGATCATTTGAGAAATCTTAATGATATTCTTGGTAAGTTTAAAGAATGATAAAATTAAAGAAAGTCTAAACAATGACTAACTCTATGGCTTGTTTAAACTTTATTTAGACAGCATCTTCCAAACATCTATTCAAAAAATCGATGATAGCATATACGAATTGGAATCACCAATGCAGGCTGGGAATCAGAATTCCACCCCCGAATATACTTTATCAATGATAGAGAAAGCAACAACGCAAACATCCGAATTTTCATTTACTTTCCAACAATTTTTGAAAAATGATCGAACAAAAGATCATACAGAAGTTATTAAAAGCGCCACCAATTTCGCACAGTCTATTTCGGAGGTACTTTATAATGCAAAAGGAGTAACACGGTTAGCAGGGGAAGATGATGAAATAAGCGAAGAAATTGTACGAACAACCAAAATGGCAGCACAAATGGCACAAAAATTCCTGTTGAACGTTCAATCATATAAATTGGATGCTTTACCTGCTAATCAACGATCGCAAGTTGTGTTGCAAGGTGAAATGGATGTCCAAGTAGCTTTACAGAAAGTATCGAAATTGACCGAAGGACTTTCTAAACAAAATGTGGACGTTGCTAAAGCTACTGATGGTGAGGTTGGCAACATGGTTGAACAAGAAATGTTAAACGCCGCGAAAGTTATAGAAGATGCAACGGCGAGAATTCAGGCACTTATGTCAAGACCTCGTGATGCTGGTCTCTCTGCTACCGAATTGCACGTGCACGATGCAATTCTTGAATCCGCTCTAGCGATCACCAATGCAATAGCAAACCTTATTAAACGTGCTACGGATTCGCAACAAGAAATTGTAGCCGCTGGACGAGGTTCTAGTACGCACGCCGCGTTTTACAAGAAAAATAATCGATGGACAGAAGGCCTTATTTCTGCAGCTAAAGCTATTGCCATTGCAACCAATCTCCTTATAGAAACAGCTGATGGTGTAATTCATGGACGAAACTCACTCGAACAGCTTATTGTGGCTTCAAACGAAGTAGCTGCTGCGACTGCTCAACTAGTGGCTGCTTCTCGTGTCAAAGCCGACTTTATGTCTAAATCTCAAGATCGTCTTGAGCTCGCTTCAAAAGCTGTAACTGAGGCATGTAAAGCACTAGTAAAGGCAGTAAAGGCCATCGCTGCCAAGCAGTTAGAAGCCAAAGAAGCTTCTATCGATTATGCAAGGCTAGCTCCTCACGATTTCAAGGTTAAGGAAATGGAACAACAAGTAGAGATTCTTAAGCTTGAAAAAGAACTGACAAATGCTCGTAGAAAATTAGCTGACATGAGGAAAGTTAGCTATCATGCAGACGAAGATTAAAATACAATTTACAATGGACTTCTGTTTATTTGAAAAAAGGCGCGGATGCCTTTTTGATTGTATAAAAATGGTAGTTCCCTAAATATAATTGGCTTGATATGTTTATAACGATGTAATACAATTTAGATCGGGATGAATTGGATTTATAGTAATCAAAACAAACATTTATTTGTCCATTTATAATGTATTATTCAAGTTTATAATTTATTTTTGTTCAGCATAGAAAAAATATATTACACAATTAAAATTTAATGTTGCATGATTTAAATCTGAATTTAAACAGTTATAAAATAAATATTCTGCTTTTATTACACAATTTATTTATTTTATTAATTTATTAAAAATCTGGCACAAATATTTATAATATAATAATAATTTAAAATATTCAAGTTTTTTTTTATTAATTAGAATAAATAAAATATATATAGTTATTAACAAAAAACTTAACTTCTTAGATTTATTACAATTCAATATTTAGAAATATAAATCTTTTTATATATATTTATTAAAAAAGTTATTTAAGATTATTTACTAAATATATTAGTACTATTTTTTAATTAATTTTTTAAGTTAAAATAAAAAATAATTATAAAAACTTAATTATATAATTTATATATTAAAATTTTGTAAAAATATCATGCAAAAAAATAATTTTAATCATATTTTTCTTTATTATATAAAAAAAATTTATTAAATTTTTATCAGAATTTTATTAAAACTTTTTATAATTTAATAAATAAACTTATTTAAGAAAAAATATATAATATATAATATTAAATATTTATATAATTTATAAAATATAAATATTTAAATATTATATATTGAAATAATCTAAATAGAACATCCTGTTTCAGGAATAATCTCAAAAAATCATGTGATATAATTGACTAATTACAATTATATATTATATCATATCAAAGTATAATCCAAATATATTATGCAACTATTTTACATACTTCACATTCACCACCAGTTTTTTGCAAAATAGTATCCAAAAACTCAAGAAAAGTTGAAATAAATACAAAAATTTGTATACAGGATATGACTTACGAGTTTAGATATTAAAAAATAATAAGTTATGCAAAACTTAACTATCAAAACTTCTCAAGATAACAATTCTCTCATCATATCAATCAATATTATAATTTATGATATATAGATAACTTCTTTAAATATCAAAATATAACAATTTATGTCATATTAAGATTCAAAATTTTACTGTAAATATAGAACAAGAAGAAATAACCATATTATCTTTAAATAAGGGTATATATAAAGATAAAAAAAGCCCATGTATTAGTTATTCCTATTCCTAATATAGAACCTACTCCCCTAATATAAAATATATTTCTTATGTAGAACTGGCTAATCAAGTACTTCAGGATGATATAACTGAAGAAATAGTCAAATCAAATAACCAAGTCCAAAGTATTGCAAATGAAGGTGAGATTGTTAGTTGTAATTTTAGTTATATTAGTATTAGATTTCTTGTTAATTTTACCTTTATCTACATATAAATGATCATGAAGTCATAAATCTTTATATTAGTTATATCTTTGAATCATGAAAAGAGATTGATAGCATCATAAAAACCTATAGCAAATAAAAAGAATTTGGAGTTGTCTGAAAAAGATTAGAATGATATGAAGAAGAGTATATAAAGCATCTTAATTATAGATGTAAATTTAGTAATCATCCTTAACCAAAAAAAAAATTGATATTCATGATCACTATGATCATAAATCAAAATGACAAGAATGTAATTGGCATGCTAATATTAACTCTCCACAAAATGCTTCAGTCATAACTCTTATCACTTTTGATAATATACACAATCACCCATTAGATGCCAATACTCAATATTATATTCTAATATATTAGAATATCTCTAAGGATATTCTTAATGAAATTTAATTTTTGACTGAAAATAGAAATCTAACAATTGGTACTTAAAGAAGATTATTAAAATCAAAGTTTTCAGATAAATCCATTTTTAATTATGATCTTGTAAATATAATACAAAAATTCAAAATTTGTACTAACAAAAATCTGTATGCATCCTATCTACTAATAATTCTTATCAAATGAAAATTATATGATCATCAATAGACTATTAAGTTCGAGCTGGATAATAAAAATTAACTTACCCATTTCTTTTAGATATCACCAGCACAGATTATTCTTTGATTAGAGTACTATAATATTTTCTTAAATGACAATACTGTCAAAATAAACCAGTATCAAATATCACTTTTACTTTTTCTTGCTGTGAATAATAATATAAGTTCATATCTTGTGATATAAGCTCTTGTATTAGACAAAATAATCAAGTTCTATAAATAAATTCTAGAATATACTAAAAAAATAATAATAACTAAGCTATTAGTATTCATTACAGATACAGATCCTATAGCAGATACTGCAATCAGACAAATATATAAAATTACCTATCCAATTCACTGTATTTTTCATATCAGCAAAAACCTACCAAAAAATCTCAAATCTAAACTTCATAATCAATATAAGAGCTTTGTTCATGACTTTTTTCTATGCTATAATAACTTGTGTGAAGAAGATTTCTATAAATAATAATCATGACTTGTCAAAATATACTCTAATATTAAAAATTATCTGATGAGGACACTCTATCCCAATTAATAAGTGTGAATCTGGATATTTATATTAAAAGTATTCATAGTAGAAATTCAAACTACCTTCCATATTGAAGGTCTTAATCATATTATCAAATGTATATTAATAGCAAGTAGTAATTTATGTAATCTTGTAGATGTACTAGATATGAGACTTCAAGATAAGACACAGTGGAATCATTTTTTTAAATATCACATTATATTATCTTGTATAGGAATCATATCAGTTAGTCATGATATTTTTCCAGAAGTTAACAAATAAATGACCAAATATCTTATCCCTCACATATTATCTGCCAAATGATTGAAAATGATATAATATCTATATTTCATTGCAGATCAAATAGATATATCAAATATTCAAGATGAGATAATGAGATCTAATACAAGCATTCAAAGTTATTTGAACATAATCTAATATTTTTATTATGTTTAGGATTCTAACCTTGATGTGATGGATAAATTTATTAAGAACTTATATGATATCAAGCAAATTCTATTAAAATCAATGATTGCTAAGGTTAATGAAGAAAATATTCAAGAAGTGTGAAAAATCAAAGACATACAGCCTGAAAATAAATACTTATATTTTATAGTAGTGATCAATTCTATTTCTTATCTTTGTTCATGCATATCTAATATATTTCATGATATCATTTATCACTATTATTTTTGAGTCATAATGTATTCAAAGATTATAGAATTTCATATTCAAATAATATCTGTTTGATAATATAATGATGAATGAAAAGATAAAGATATAATCATGAATGTCTGCTATTTTGCCAATCAAGAATTGGTAAAGAATCAATCAAATAAAATACTTACATCAAATCTCTTGATCATATTCAAGACTATAACATCTATTTTATGTTATGCAGTGCAATAAAAAGCTAAATATGAAGAGGTGTGAGGACTGGTACAATATGCAGCCCAACTTGCTATTAATCATGATGATCATAGTAAAATGGTAGTATGGTTAAAAGAGTTTATTGACCAGCACAAAAAAATAGCAACTATACTTATTGGATCTGTGTGAAATTGAAATCTTCAAGAACTCTTTGAAATTTAACCTAATGATGTAAATAAGAAAAATGAACCTGGACCAATCAAAAATCTATTAGTATCATAATAAAAGGGATATCCAAAAACCAAATATTATAAATCTATAACCAAAAAAAAAGGAAAAACACGCTCATATACCTATAGTATCTGCAGTCAACTGGAACATAATAGTGTGATATGTTAAAATCACTAAGGTATTTACTCATTTTTTATTCATTAATTCTTTATTTAACTAACTTATAAATTAGATCATCACAATATATTAATTCTAACTCAATTATTTTAGATATATGATTATCATATTTCACCCAATAAAAATCACTATGTATCACATTTTTTAATAATCAATCAAATAAAAATTTTGAAATTTCTGGTCCTAGCCAAATTAATTTTCTGAGATTATTTCTGAAACAGGATGTTCCAATTAGATTCATCCTTATTATTATTATTATAATTATTATTATTCTGACTATTTTTATTCTTTCTTGAACTAGTATATCTGCTGGTAATATGATTAGTATCTTCATAATTATAACAGGT